TCACAAATAACCAGACCTAAACCCCTACAAACTTCCTCCCAAAAATTATCCACAAACCCTAATTGATTTTCCCTCTCTTTCAAGTTCAAATTGCGGGCAAACCCTAGAATTTGAAGAACCAAGATAAGGGCTGAGTTATCCAACAAGTAAGGTGAGTTTACTGCTATCTTTCATACATTTATTATGCTGTGAATTCATGGTAATTCGTTCTATACATGTAAGAACTCACGGGACGGTGATCGGAAGCCGTGAGTTCGAGTTATTCACTTGTAGCGGACTGTTTTGTGGATTGTTTTCTGTTGCTGTTGGGCTGCGTGTTTTACTACTGTTTTGTAGAGTTTTGGAGGAGGAACGGTGTGGAGAAACACGATATAGATGTAGGTTTGTGGGCTGGTAGTTCTTCGTAACATTTCCGGGTCGTTTGAAACGACTACGGTGGCCGTCGTATGTATGAAGTGATTAGGTTGTGTGTGGACTATTTTGGGAGGCTCAATATGATTATTATTGATGTTGTTTAGGCTGTTTGGTGATTGTTTGGAATTGTGTGAAGTCATATATATAGGAGAGGTGTTGTCCGTTTCATCGTATAATAGGTTGTGGTCGATACATAATAGTTATGACGCATGAATGATAACTGTAGTATCCTTTCTCTTATTGTAGACTAAGGAGTCATGAAAATTGCTTAGCTTGAGATTGGGGCAGTATATACAAGGTATGTGAGGCTATCCCTTTTCTTCCTTTGCACGACTCTGATTGTACATAATGTAATGAACGAGCTTCCAAAGATACTCTACTCTTAGAAGCTAGCAGTACTTACATTGTTTCCCCTCTTATGGAACGATTTATGTTGATGTTGCTTCTCTTATTCTTATGTTATCAATGTTATTGGTACTTCCTGATTCTTATAAGGTTCATGGTGAAGAGTTAGTCCTAATAACGTGTACACAGGATACCGACCTTACGTCACTCTGAAAGGTTTAGAACATAAGTTCATGAGTCGAGCATGCATTATATATATGTATCTAATTTACTCTACCGAGCCGCGCTATAGACGGCCGGGTATGGCACCTATTGTGCAACCACTGATCAGTTGGGTTTTACCGAGCTCCACGTGGCCGGGTACGTTTTTACCGAGCCTATTACGGCCGGGTACGATATGATGATGATGATGCCCACAGAGGCGTATGTTTTAAAAGTTTATGTATATATACATATGTATCACGCATTTCATGTCAGTAGCCCTTAGAGGTACCCAGATGTTACAGGTTGTTTATTCTCTATCCCTGCTTACATTACTGTTCGTACTTATGGTTCCCTGCCTTACATACTCGGTACTTTATTCGTATTGGCGTCCTTTTATTTGTGGACGCTGCATGTCGTGCTGCAGGTCCTGATAGACAGGCAG